GAGGCTTTGAGGGTTTTCTGCAGCATAATAACGGCAATTTTGCTTATTTACAAAACCGTCGAGGTGAAAATGCGCTTCATCACTCATAAATAACAGCATATCGTCATTCACCTCAAATAACGAGAGCATCTCTAATGCAAATTCTGAACGTTGATGATAATCAGTGGGTTTCAACTGTTGAACAATTGTCAACTTATAAGGATGGAAGTTTAACTCACGCTTGACGATGCGTCGAACGGAAGAACGATTAATTTGTAAAGCCTGAGCTTGTTTGCGCACCGAGCGTCGTGGACTTTGGAGAACAGCGGCTCTTACCCTTTCCGTATTTTCGGGAGTTGTTACAGTACGTACGGGGTCAGATGGCTTTTTTTTTGTAATTATTCCCGTTGTTCGAAAAGCAGTGACCCATCTCATAATTGTTTTCCGATCGGGAACCGCACCGTGACGGCCAATGTTAAAATTAATTCTGAATGCACGCTGTACTTTCACTACCGATTCGTTGTTTTTGACAAATGAGTCGTACGCGAACACACGGTGAACAACACTCCACTGCTCCATCGTGGAAACTAAATGGCATTATCTAACGGATAGAATGAGACCATTCCGACTTACTCACACTCAGTTTACGTCGAGAAAAACCCATATATTTTTAGCCCTATTCCCGTGACCCACCCTGTATATTAATATAGAGCGGCCCAAACAAGGACCGGCCCATCGGGATGATTCCTAATTTTCCGATAGGCCAATCCACCCCTGTGTACTCCCTATACGTGGTTAAGTTTCTCTAAAAAAAGGTTTCTATTATTCGTAAATTGTGCACAAATTAGTTGTGTTTTAGTGCGCAAATGAGTTGCAGCTCATTTTTTGGTTTATAAATTATTAGAATTTTATACCTAGTAGTTCGTCCCTCCTTTTTCTTCGAACCCCCCTCTATTTCAAAATCCTAAACACGCCACTGCCAATCAGTAACCCATTTATATTTTAACTGTTGAGGGGACCTTGACTTACTTTTGAAATATTTAACGTTATTTGTTCACCAACATTTAGTTCTTAGTTTTTCACTGCTATTATTTCCGCTGCGATTGTTTGTCGTTCATGAAATTCAATGGGTTAAATAAAACTTTTACTTGTTTTTCATTAATCCTCTTATTTTCTACTTCAATCAGATCATATTCACGATATAAATAATAATAGTTTTGAGTTTTAGTTTCACCTGTATTCAATACAAATACAATAACATTTCATTAGTATTATTTTTCTGGCTTGAAATAGGTATTTAGTTAAACGTCTCTACATATCATTGAATGACTGGGCATTTAACTAAACATCTAGGTGGACATTAAAAATCACATAAAATTAAATTCTTTGACTAATGCCTTAATTTAGCTAATTACTTATGACACACACACACACACACACACATATATATATATCAGCCGCTATTTTTCATAACAATTTGTACTACCTACACATTTTTTTAATGTACAATGCTATCATACAGAGCCTCTCTCTAGTCCCACAATTTCATATGGTTATAATTTTTAGTATAATGTGAACAATTATTTTTAGTAATAATTATTTTTTATTAATCAAATCTTACATTATAATTAGGTAACTACTAATCTGTTTTTTTTTAAATTTAAAATATACTTATATCTGGTATAAATCTGAAAACTATTAATAAATTATTTATTTTAATGTGGAATATATAATTTAAGATTTAATATATATATTTAACTTCTGATTAGCTGTCTTGCTTAAACTGGCTTCCTAAAAAACACCTTCATAATAGTATTATTTATCAGTATTTAGGTTTACTTACTAAATACTGATAAATAATACTTCTCGAATCCGTAGTGTATAATTCTAATTTCGGATTACACACTGTACACACTTTGTGTCGAGGTTCACTAAAAAAATTGGGGCCGACATCTATATACTATTGTAATATATTAATTATTATATAGATATACATATAAAAGTTGTATGTTGGTTTTACGCTATGAAGTTATAAAATTATACATTATTATATCAATTCTTTACACATTAAATTTATACAATAAATATATATATTTGTACAATAAGATATTTGCCTTTTATTTCGTAGAAGAATCAATGAAACTTATACTCTAGTCCCTAGGTACAGGAAAATAAATTATGGTAAGTTTTTAAACAACGATTCCGTGAAAGTAGATTAATGGAGAAAACATGTTCCCTGAATATTCTTTCAATAAATAATATATAGAATTAATTTTAATTATTTAGTGCTTTAGTATAAAAATTATAATTATAGTGATTATTTAAATTGTAAATTATAGTGTCTTATATAATCAGTAATTAATATTAGTTAAATTTTTTTTAAATGTCAAACATACTATAGTACATTAAAAATGTATAAAATCAATAATCAAGAATTGATAAAATGTATGTTATTATAGTTGAAAATATATTTTTAATATATATATGTATATATACTATTTACTTTTAGAAACTATAATCAATATCAGCAAATACAATACACATAATAATATCAAGTAGGCTATGCAATTTAAATAACATGAGATAATATATTGACATGATTGGAGATAATATTTACCATTTTGTTTCAGGCAAAATGCGTGATCATCACATATAGGACTCTAATTTTGTTCGTAAAAATTCTGTTTACGTAAGTTTTTATTACACATCTTATTTTTTTTTTTTTTTTTTTTGGTTTCTACACATCTTATTAAACACTTATAATAATTATATTTACTAAAAGTGTATTTTGAATTTGTTATATTTATAATAAATATGTTATATGTAGATTGTACATAAAAATGTAGTTCAAATAGACCATTAAAAAAACTGAAATTCCTGTTATCGTTTGATAAATTGAATGATGAATGTCAAAATATTTCAATTTTTTATCAGAATACTTAATAAATCTAAATAACTTTGATACTTATAAAAATAAAAATACTGATATTCAAGAATATTGAATAATATTAAAAACATAAATTATTATTTTAAATGGTTAGAAACTAAATAACGTATAAGGTCATTTAAACAAAATTAAACCTAAGTATAATTAAAGTATTAAGTTAGGTTATTTTTTAAATTGAGTTTAAGTAAAATAATAGATAAGCTAAATTTTAAAAATATTAAAAAGAAAAATTAAAATTTTTTTTTCAAACATATTTATTAATATTATTTTACTACAAGAGGAATTTTTCATGATATAATGGGTAAAAGAGAATCAGTGCCAATTTTTGTAATTTTACCTCGTCACACTTTATAATGCCAAGGTTTAAGAATGGAATTAATTTGATTTATAAGCTCGAAGTTAATGTTTATACATTTTCAAATAGAATATTAAATAAATAATTTATTTTTTAATAACATTTAACATATTAAGATTTATCCTTGGATTTAAGTAGAAAATAATGGGCCCTTACAAGCAAAAACAGATTAAAGGAAATTGTATTGCTTAAAAATGATCGTTTACGTCCATTAAGTTTTAGATACCATAATACATTATAACTACATAAATTGAAAAAAATTTATTTGCTTCAAACAATTGTTTTCTAATTATATCATGCGTTATTATTAAAATAATACTCTAATAGTTTAAAGCAGAAAAATCTAAGCGTAAGCAAACAAAAATGATAAAAAAAAAGAAATATTTTGTTGGCTGTCCTTCCTCAAAAATATCACTATTCAAAAACAGATTATTCTTAAAAACATATTTAAAAATATGAAGTAAAAATATTCATAGGTTTAGAATTGCAATATTTTATCAATAGTAACCTATATGATTATAATAGCATTCATTCGATTTATTATTTGAAGAAGATAAAAATTATATCATATATATTATATAGCTATCAGAAAATTTAAATAACAATTATTTTTTTATTCACTTAATTTTATCAATTTTTCTTTTATTGTCTGTCAATATGGGTTTGTTTATTTTAAACTGAGATCTTATTTTTTCCCTGTTATTATAATGCTTAGATTATATGAAAAAGAAATAATTATATAATTATATTAATTTAGAAAAAACCAAATTAGTTATTTTATTATACTATATTATTTTATAAGCTCATAAAGTTTAATTTTTTTTTATCAATATTGTCACTAAATTGTATAGGAGAGTTTTAAATCTGATCCTATAATGACATTACAATTACAGATAAATAAGAACCTAATTATTAAATTCTTGATTAATTATCCATTAATATTTGTATTATAATTAACATAGTTTATTTTTAAAAGATTATATAATCTTAATAATTTATTATTTACAAAAATATTTAAAGACAAAAATATTACTTATTCAATACGTAAAACGCGTATATTAATAGTTATCAATATCTTTCTGAGAGAGAGAACTAATTTTTATGTTTTTAAAGTATTCACAATTTTAGTATTAAATAAACTCATCTTATCATGAAATTAATGGCTTCATCGCTCAATTTATAGTAGAAGTATAATAAGTAATGAGTCGTTACTTTTTTTACTTCTATTATACTTTTTTTCTATTATTATTAATGAGTCATTAGTAATGACTAATGAGTAGAGCGTGAATTTCTTATGTATTCAAAACTAAACAGATTTGCACTAAAATGTTAAAATATACACTCAACATTAAGAAAAAAAAAAAAAACATTTATATTTTAACATTTAATTAAAATAATATTCGTATACATAAAATATGGAACCAGACTGTAAATACTTTTCTTTAAACATCTTTGTATCTACATGGACATTTTGGTATATGGATATTTTTGTACATAAAAAGTAAATAAAAGTAAATAAAAACTTAGGCTAGAGTATTATTATATTTGAGTATTTTATATATAAGTATTAACTATTTTTAATTTTTTTTTTTTTTATTTTATTAAATATTTCATGTGCCATTTTATTTTTTTTATACTATAATAGTGTAAAATCAAAAAAAACAATTGAAAGATTTCTGTTATAAAAAAAATAAATAGATTTAAACTGTACACTGATAATTAATTAATTAATTCAATCCAATTAATCTTCGATTGGTTCATTCATAATATATTGTCTGTAACCATTGTTCAACTGTTCCATGAAAATGAACAACAAGACTGTACCTGGGGCAATTCGTAAATAATAAAAAGGCCATCCTTTCCACAAAGCTTTCACTCCTTCAGTTTTTAACAAAGTGTTCCCCACATCAATAAAACCTGTATATTCTGATTTGCCATCTACAATTTTTTGTTGTTGAATTCTATAACGTAAAATATTATAGTTAAAATGTGTGTAGTATGTGCCATGGACTCATAAACAAAATATTTACCGTGTTTTAATTACATCCATTGGATTCGAAAAAACGGAGTATAGAATTCCCGAAATCATACTCGCTACTGTATGAAGCTTTAAGCCATTTTCCATGTTTTCTGAAATCAATAAAAACGCTTATTTTTAACAAATAGATTTTTTCATGAGATATAATAGTTGACTGTGGTAATTCTATTTTATTTAGTGCAAAACAGGTATTATTGGAACAAAAATTATTCAGTACTTTACACAATACATATTTGGTGTCCCCCAGGGAGTGAATCATGAGTGTACGTCCTTGAAGTGTGGGTGAAAACTAAATTTTTAATAACTTATTCAGATGATATTTCATCGATCTTACGGTATTCCATCAGATACTCTTTGGCCGAGTCATAAGACATCAATTGCGTTACATTGGCAGTCATCGCCCTAATCACCGAGGACACCGTTCCTCGCCATAGCCCGCGAATGCCTTCGTCTTTTCGGATTTTCAAAAGAGCGTCGAAAACATGTTTATAGTTACGTCTTGATTCTTTCGGCAAACGTCCGTCGGACGTCATGCGGACTACAGCAATCTATAGCATTTTTAATTTTTTTTTTATATTTCCAAAAAATTAACGGTAATATAAAATTAATACTTTTAACAATACACTATATACATTACAGGTTATCCTATCTCCGATTAACAGTAACACATAAATCAATACGTACATTTTTTTTTTCATTAATCATCGAGATACGAGTAAAATTTCACCGATCTAATTGTATTTATACGCAGTGAATAGTAGTAAAAAACTTATAAGTGTTTACAAAAATTGGAACCAAAGACTTATTAACGGTCAATTTATATAGTAGTTGCCTGCCAAAATATTTTGCTGATATGCCGAGAGTGGCGGCAAGGTAAATGATTTTTGCTATAGATCAGCAGTTCTCAAACTTTTATGTTCACAGAGCCCCAAAAATCAAGAACGCCAATATCAAATCACAACTCATAAAAAACGATGCATCAATTATTATTTGCTTTTTAATGTTTTTTAATAATTTGTATGCCATGTACGTACAAAATGTTTAAAACATTAATATTTGATGATTTATAAGATTTAATGCGAACAATAATAACCATTGTTTATTTTTTATTAAACAGTAGGTACTTCAATAATTGGTTTGATGGGAGAAATTTGAATACGTGTCGCTTGTATACGATAATACACAATCCACATAAATGTAACAATCACTCTGATAATATTATTATATTAGAATTTGATACAGTTCAAATGTGTCCGTGGAGCTCCGGGATTACTCTTGCGGAGTCCCTTAGGACTTAAATCGAAATCGATTAATATATATTATTAATATTAGTTGTACTTGTACTTATACTAAATAGTAAATAGGTAAAAAATTATATTACGTCTGCCGGTGTAGCGATAAACGCAGCAAAAGCTCCGGTAGTCATGCTGGCGAGTGCATTATTCAGTACGCTGTCATATCCTCGTCTGAATCATAATAATAATACATAACAATTATCGTTTGCGGGCAAGTTAATAAAATTAATCAAATAAAATTAAGTTAAGGGATCACAAGATCGCTAAGTTAGAAGTTAAAAGCTAATAAATCATAAATTTAACTTGTTAAAATTAAAGTTATTATAGAACAAAACATTAACTTACCTTAGTTTAAAAAAAGTTAATGTATTTTTTTTAATTAATATTTAGAACACACAATGAGGGTTTGTGTTGTTTTTAATTTCTTAAATTACAATAATCAATAGTACTGAACTTTTAGTGTAATGTATAATATATATTGAAGCGTATTTGCCTATTTTAATTCATATAGTGGTCGAAATGGACCGGAGCGTACTAGAATGGCGCTCTGATTCATAATATTAGTTCTTGCATCTGTTCCGGTTAGTTAAAATAATAATTTAAAAGTTCCGGTTTGTGTGAAATATTTTAAAAAAATTGTAATTTGATAAGATGTTTCTGACATTATCAAAATTAAGAGGATTCAAATTTCTTTTCGACAGAATATAGAATAATATAAGGTATAATATATAAGGTCAATTTTATAGAATTCCAAGAGACTTGATGATATTGATTCGTTCTGAAAATATTTACACCTATAGCTAGTCGTTGAAATTGTGAAAAAATGCCAAAAAATACACAGCATTGTGAAAATTATTATAAACTATTACATTTTAATTGTATGGTTACTTTTTTTTAAATTTAAAATGTTATTATTATTTATTTAATATCTATTTAACTAATTATATTCTATTGTTAAGTAAACACAAATTAAAATAATTAAAATTAAAAATTAATATTATCATCAGCAAATTAATTTTATGAACGTTCCGGTTCGTAAAATTTTTCATTTCGAGCACTAAATTTATATGATTATTAAATATTTTACTACTCAAATCTCAATTAACAGTTTAATAAATCCTCATATTTTTATTCACTAGCTATTTAAGATCATGTTATAATAAAACAATACAATTAATAAATAAAATATAAAATATATATTATTTTATAAATAATACAATTCGTAATTTAATATATTTATAAAAAAAAAGTTATATTAGCAACACGCATAGTTTTCAAGGGTCCTTAATAATTAAATATATAACATTAAATAAATTACCTTTAATTATAAATTTCATTGTATGATTTATTTTTTAATGTGGTCATATTTGTTATATTTAAGCAATAAAATAATCTCAAAATTCTTATCAACTATTATTCCTTATTTATTATTATTCCTTAGTTATTTTTTATCAATTTGCCTCCTACGCATAGTACACTTTTTTTATTATACCTTTTATTTAGGATATACATAATGTCATTTTTAGAATTTTATTCCAATATCTAGAATCTGGTTAGCGGCTGTTTTACTTCATCGATAATTGCCTATCAAATCTACTGTATATAAATATTTTATCAAAAAGAAAAAAAAATTTTTTTTGTACTATTATAGTATAAGATTATTTAAAAGTAATTGTTATTTTAACCACATTTTAACTAAATAGAATATTTTAAAATTAACTGAGAAAAACTAAGTTATGTCAAAAGTCAATTAAACTAGTTGAGATATCTATAAAATGTTAATAAAAAATTAACTAACTAATTAAGTTAAATAATTTAAACAAATATAACCTTTTAACTAATGTCCACATTTAATAATAGTACATACATTTCCGTGTAAATATATCTAATGTTCTTTTTAACGAAATAAACGTTTTTTATTTGTTTTTACTAACCAGGTAAAAGGTAAAAGTTATAATTATTGCGATTTATATATATATACAATCAAAATAATTTCCACAAGTGGAAACTTACACGAAAGGAAAAGAACAAAAAAAAATGTATTTAAATCCACATAATTCTCTAGAAATACATGTATACATCTGATCTGATACAAATAAAGTACTGCGTTAGGTACTCAAAACCTAATAGGAATTGATATGTGCCCCTACCTGTGGGAATTTTGTACATAAAATATATTGTATTATGACATAATATTTGTTTGCACTCAAATACAAGTAATTGGAGAAACAGAAACAAATTATGTTAAACATCGTTCTTGTACAATTCTATATAATATTTTATGTCAAATAATTCGAATTTACTAAAATTTGTTGTACGATTTTTGCGGATGCTACAAAGCTTTCCAGAGATTTACGGAGACTTGTGGCATTGAACGTAGAGGTTATTAAATTAATTAAATTAATTAAAAAAAAAAAAATTGAAATAACAAAATAAAATTAACTAATGCATAAATTTTAACTAGTTAAAGTCATGTTTTATTGAAATTATTGAAGAAAATATATACATATTTTTCACACTGATCATATAAGTAGGTACATAAAAATATTCACATTGTGAAAAATTAAGTACACTACATAGTGTGCGTTCAAAAACTTTAATATATTGGAACATTTTCAAGTGTTTTAGTACAATGAGCAATTTGACATAGAATACACTTTTACGTATACCAAAAAATACTGAATGTCGCTATTTTCAAAACATATTCTAGAATTCAACTTTTTTTTTTTTTTAAGACTTAAACGATTGCTATATTTTAATATTAACGGTCGAAAATCGTGTGTCAAGTTTTTTGCGATTTATAAAAGTTTATCTTAAAATGTAATAATATAATTCTCACTTTTTCATTTCGTGCACGAGCGAAGTGTATGAACCAACCCGGGTTGATGTAAAAATCATTTGTCTCGTAAAGTTTGCAGTAATTCCTTTATAAAATCCCGAAAGCTTTTCTTGTTTTGCCATATTCACAATCGCATAGAACGAGTTCTTATGATCTACAGTCGTGCCTTTCTCTCCGCTGAGTTGCATCCGGAATTTAAGCACTTCCAACGGATGAACGAAGAAGGCCGAACCCATTCTAATTATAAACCATCATTAAACGAATTATATTTTCGTTACGAGTTATATACTGATATAATATTTTTTTGTGGTTCTCGATCATTTTTCGATACAAAATACTAGTTTAACCTCATTAATCTATGTAAATACATACGTACTGTTCGTAAGTACTCGTATATCGAAATCTGAACTTGATAAGCGGAACCGAGTTTTATTTGAACTTAACAATGGTAATTATTTTTATGATACTTAGATTTACTATACATACTATCTATTATGTATGAAATATTATCTCATGTAAGTATATGTATTTTACAGTTGATAGTTATTTACTTTACATAATATCAATATTTACTCTAGTTGAATGTTAAAAATTAACCTTTTTTGTTTTCATTTTATTTCTATTAACATCATACATTTATAAGACTCTATAGACGTCATGGCATCCTCATATAATAGAGAGCCACTATCACATAAAAATATTATACTGAAAAATAAAATATATAAATATTTTACCCAGCTAATCCAGCTATTGTAAAGTTAGCGTAAAACGGTAAATTTTTTTTCTCTTTTATACTTGACATACTGATGTAGAATAATAACTTGGTCACGATCCAATGGTAATAAATTTATTCTTCGACTATATGTGTTGGTACGGTTGAGTACAAAAACGGTTTTCAAATAAAAAAAATATAATTGAGACACTTGACAACACATAAACAATTTTTCTCTAATAAATAATATCTATTAAAGCTAGTAACAAGATATATAAACAACTTTTGGAAATTTGTTTAAACAAAAAAAAAATTATTGAAAATTACCATGAACAATGTACACTGATACTACATTAACCCTGAACATATAAGACTGAATTTATTGCCTAAATCATAAAAAGCTACTCAAACTTAAATCATTATAGGGAATAAATATTTACGAGTGTATATCAATATCGAAAATTTCACGTAATTAGTTCAACAAAATATTATTTTCATATTGCTTAGACGACTGTAAATTATATAAAACATAAGTTTTGAACAAATTGTCTTTTATGCAACAATATGAATAACAGCTTATTAGACCAAAAAAATTATCAGTTGAGCCTCATTAGTGTCTAAGTATGTATAAATATTGATCTTTACAAAATTATTTTATGTTCATTTTTAAGTATTTAATACAGATTATATATATATATATCTGTGCATACTATATATATCTGTAGTTTTTGATTAGGTATTATTTATTTTTGTTTATATCTCAAGTAAACGTTATGTTTATTGATGAATGAACATAACATGAATCTGTTATATTCATCGCAACACATTATTTTTTAATTTTAAAAGTTTGTATTTTGATATTATTGATTGTATATAAAGTATGATAATATGCTTCGCGATAAATTCCATACATTTAGGGTTAAACCCGATATTTTTGTATAGAATATTAATTTAACTGTATTTCAAATTTTAACTGAAAATATACTTTAAAAAGTACGAAAAGATTTTTTATAGTATTAATAATTTTAACTGAGCAATTTTTATTTGTATTTAAAATATTTATAAATTTTATTTGAATATAGAATATATAGTTACAATATTATTTACTCGAGATCATAACACAAGGCCATCTATTGCGGATAAATGCATTTATACTAAACATTTTTTTGCAAGTACCTACCTATCTAACAAAAGTTTGAAACCGCTTTGACCATAACCTTACCTTGTTATTATGGTTTTCGCTTTATTTAAGAATATTCGAAATCACGCATTTTAATCATTTTATTTTCATCATCTTGCTAAAATTTGAATTAAACCTTTTGTAGTGAGTAGTGAAAATATTTGTTTGTAGATTAGTAGATAGAAATTAGTAAATGGGGGTGAGAGCCAGTAGCAAATTTTAGAGGTGGTGAAGGGGGCACTCACTCCTTCTTTGGATTTTTTTTATGCCAACTGTTATGTTTTGTTCGTCGTATTATTTTCACGATATATGTTCTAACTTTTTTTTTCAAAAAATGTTTTTATTTTTTGCAACATAATGAAAAATTGAATTTATTAAATCATATTAAATATTTTTTTGGTCGAGTAGCACCCCTCTCCTTCCCGACTAATAGCTAAATGAGCTAGCTTTGGGTCTGAACTTGTGATGGGCATAATCGAATGATTTCAATAATTAAAATATTAGTATTCGAAACATTTTTATAATCGAGATATGTCTCGAAATAATCATTCGAAATATTAACAATCGAGATATGTAATTAATGATGGGCATAATCGAAATATTAGTAATCGAGACATTTTTATAAACACGAGATGTCTCGAAATAATCATTCGAAATGTTGAATTGAAATATAGTATATAAATATAAATTTAATATAATTTTATTTATAATTATTCTGAGAAATTGTTGTTGTTTTGTGGTTGAGTAATTCAAAAATTATAGCTAGGATCAAAAAGTTCCCGGAATTTCACTTTATTTTTTTATACATACAATTTAAATATAAATCCACATAATCTCCTTCAAAATATTGTACTTTAGCACAAACACACTTACTTCAACGACTTTTTAACTGATGGAAACATTTTTCTTATCCCTCTATTGGAATGTCCCTGAGATTTGCTATCGCGTTAAGTTTAATGTCTTCGATCGTCGTAAAACGTTCACCTTTCAGTCCAAGTTTTAGGTTTGGAAACAGCCAGAAGTCACATGGAGCAATATCTAGTGAATACGGGGGTTATGGAACTGTAGAAATTTTTTTATCCGTCAAAAATAGTACATATAACTGATAAAATAATTTAACATGTAATATTAATAATTTGAAAATCACTTCACTAAAATACGCGTAATTCCCACAAAATTGTGATATCGGTGGTTTTTCAAAAATATAATTTTCGAACTATTTCACCCTGGCGCATAGCCAGAGGGGGGGTGACAGATGTAGTAACACCTCCCTCCCCTTAACCGCATTAACGGTACACTGAAGTCTAATTAAGGCAAAAATTGATCATAAACCGTGATGAAAACATATTTATCATAACGAAATATATACATAACAATAATGTAAAGCCGGGATCCGGCTTCTCATTACATCGTTTTATCTAATAAACCAAAGCCGTGGTTTTATGTCGTATCATGCGCTATTCAAAATAGGTACATATGACAAAAATGTACATTTGAAATTATAATAAAATATTTATATAGTTTCTCATACAAAAGGTAGTACATTACACATGAATAGATATTCATGTACCTACTAATGTGTTTGTTTTCTTAAATCAATTCACTGCACCACTTAAAAGCAGTAGTAAAACGTCGACGATTAATAATAATAAAATAATAATTTTGCCCGCGCACTATGAACGAGTGTAAAATAATGTTCGTGCACACGTACTTAAACTCCGATCATGGGTCGGCGCGATTATCACTGTCGTTGCCTCAACACCGCGGTGCTTTTTTATCTGCGATACCTATTATCTTGAGCCACCAGATACGACATCCCGTTATCATCGGTATCCGTAGCGTATTTATATTTACCGTCTCCGGTGTTCGCTGTTCGAAGCGTTTCGTTGTCGCTTCCATACGCAGCCGTCGTTCATTTCGTTCGCATTCGCTACCTCGAACAGAGATAGTTCCAGACGTTCATCTTTGCGTCAAGTGCTTTTCGCGTGCCACAAGGTAGTGGAAACTTGTCACTGCGTGTGTAGGGTGTCTACAGGATACTAGTGCCAAACGACCCAATGAAGAAAAAGGTATAACAATGATGTTCGACGACGAATTTGCTCTATTCATCTTACGTTGTAGTTTAGTACGCGTTGAACAGGTGCTCCATCGCAGTGTATACAACACCTGACGGTTTACCGTCTCATTCGAAAAACCACCAAAACCATAGGTTTTATGTCTAATAACTACTATGTCTTTACTACTCAGTACTTACATACAGTGCACATTGTTGTAAACATACCATAAAAGTACCTGTTTCATATGTTAACTTTAATACTTACATTTTAAAATACACGCGGACTCTTATGTCTCTCATTTACACTTTAAAAATTTAATTTGATTTCAAATATTTTACAGGTGTTATTAATGGGTAAGAGTGGCTCTGGAAAAACCAGTATGAGATCAATAATTTTTGCCAATTACATAGCCAAAGACACTAGACGTTTAGGGGCAACAAGTAACTTATTTATTTAATAAATCAAAGAACATTATTATTATTATTATTATATTAACCACACTATTATGAGAATTATTATCTATTTTTGTAGTTGATGTCGAACACTCCCATGTTAGATTCCTTGGAAATCTAGTTCTCAATCTTTGGGATTGTGGAGGGTAAGGCTTTAAATTTAATAATTCAAATTCACTGTAATTTAAATTTTTACTGTAAGCTTTATTTGTAACTTTTAAATTTTAGTTGACACTTATAATGTGTTTATTTATTTATTTTTTTATTAATTTTTGTTAAGAAATTTAAAGTTTAATCCAATATGCCCAGGTAACTAAGCAAAGTTTTATTACGATTAAATAAATTTTAACTTCAACATTTACATACATTCACATTTTAAGTTTATATTTTATATTTAAACATTTTTTTTTAACCTTTTACTGATCATAAAAATAAGTCATACAATCAATTTTATCTTAGTTTAATTAGAATAATTAACATTTACTAATTTTAAAATTTAAATAAATCATTTATAATTGATGTTCGACAGGCAAGAAGCATTCATGGAAAATTATTTTGTTAGTCAACGAGAGAATATCTTCCGTAATGTTGAAGTTTTAATTTACGTATTTGATATTGAAAGTAGAGATGAGGAATTGAAAAAAGATTTGAGGTATTACCAGACATGTCTCAGTGCAATTTATGAAAATTCTCCTTCTGCTAAAGTTTTCTGTTTAATACATAAAATGGATTTACTTCAAGAAGATCAAAGAGATAAGGTATTTATCATATTATTGCTAATTTTTTTCTCACTATTTAACGTATTTGTAATAATAGATAAACTTTAGATTTTTTCAGAACGTGAAAATGAAATAATTAACATGTCCAAACCAGTTAAATGTACATGTTTCAAGACATCTATATGGGATGAAACATTATACGGAGTAATTAATAATGCATAAACACATTTATGACAACTGTTATTTAATGTTATTTTTAGGCATGGTCATCAATTGTATACAAATTAATACCAAATGTTCAAGAACTTGAACAGAGCTTAAAATTGTTTGCTGATTTAATGGAATGTGACGAAGTATTATTGTTTGAACGTGCTACATTCCTCATCATATCTTTTTGTGAACGCGCTTCTCATCGTGATGTACATAGATTTGAAAAAGTATCAAACATTATCAAAGGATTCAAATTAAGTTGTAGGTTAGTATTACTATATATGCTATAAGTACTACATGTCATAAAATTACATTGTTAAAATAAATCATAAATATGGTCATTCTTAACTTTAATAAAACAAAAAAATATTTAGTGTATAACAGTACTTCTCAAGCTGGAAGTTGCGGTCCCTTAGGAGGCCGTGAAATATTTATTTTATCTAAACTATTTTTTTTAGGTCTTATTTTATTTGTATTTTTACATTTATAAAGTTTAATACTAAAATAAAAAAATTTCAAAAGTGTATTAAAAATTATCAATTTAACATAAATATTCATACTTAAGTTGTGTGAAATAGTACATGTAATTTTAATATATAATTAAGAAAAAATAATAAATGATTTTGGTTAAGGAATCCTTGACAGTTTTATATTCGATTTAGGGTACCCCATAATATGACATTTTAATAAACACTGGTGTATAACACAAATAAATTATAATACTCACCGAATTACATTATACACAAATCTAATATTTTTATTTTTCTTGTTGTTAACACCAATACATTATTACAGTAAATTAGCTTCTCAATTCACGGCCATGGAAGTGAGAAATTCAAATTTTGCAGTGTTTATCGATATATTTACACCCAATACATACATAATGGTTGTAATGTCCGAACCAAATATTCGTAAGTTAATAATTCAATAAAAAAATTTTCAAGAGGTAATGTAAATTTCTATTTGTATGTATAGCTTCAGCTGCAGTTTTATTAAACATAAAAAATGCTCGAAAACATTTTGAAAAATTAGAGCGTTCAAGTCAAGTTCGTCAAAATAGCACCTGTAAATCTTAAATATTAGAAACGGTTTTAGCTGAGAATGAAATTTTCATAGTTTTTTTAACATACATATTTTAGTTGTCATATTTTTTACTTATTTTTTTTTTTTTTACATATACCACCTATATTTAATATTTTAACATTATGAATATATTATTTATTTTAATATACTTTTGTTATTGTATAAGTCATAATCTTTTTCATTTGTGAAAATAATATGATTTCGCTCAAATGCAATCAACATATTACTATTTATCGCACAATTTTGTCTATTTATATTGTATTTTATATTTAGTTAAAATAAATATGTTACATAATATTTTACCCTTACTTATATTCAGCTCCAGAAATAAAATAAAAACTAAGATGAATCCTATAAAAGCCTGTTTAATATCAAAATTTAATTTGTTTTGGTTACAAATTGTATCAATGATATTAAACTAGATTTGTCAGAAATATATTTAAAATGCATTATTTCTTTCAGCCCATGTAATTCTATCTTGAACATTTTTTACTGTTTAATATTATAATAAACTTAACAATATAAATTTGGTTATTTGTACAACTCTTAGTGTACAAGTATACTCCAGTGAAACATTAACAAATGGTGAATTATAGTTGGCTATATTTAATATGATCATTATTTTACAGATTGTTAAAATTAGTGCATTTCTATAATAAAGACTTACCTGATTAAAATTCTTAAACTGTATATAGTGTCAGAGAAAGTTAAAATTGAAATAATTAATTTCATATTATACAAGTTTGGTAGTAAATGTTATAAATAATTTAAATTTGATTTTAAAATAAATTGCTGAAATAGTTATATACATTAATCAAAACAAAATTAAAAGGTTATATTTTATAATTTTATTCAATAATTTATATAAAGAAAAATTCAATAAATTAAGCAATACTTCATCAAAACAAAAAAATGGTTATTTTAAAAATAGTTATGAAACATATAAATTTAAAAACATTATTTATTTAACTAAGAATATTTAATATGTGTTAGATGTGTCGATCTAAAACATTTTTACACCATAATGACAAAAAAATATATATTGGTCAATTTTCAGTTAGTACATACATAGGATAGGTCATTCGTAAATAATAGTAAATACATAATGAAAAAAACAATTATTAAAAAAAAAAAAAACAGTTCAATAAATTAGACTTTACTTGGTATTGAATAATATACAAAACAATTTTCCTAGATATATTCTTCATACTAATGCATATTTAATTTATGAAAACATACTATCAATTATGTTTGGATTTAACCATGTATCTGATATTGGTATGCCATTATATTTATAATTTTTAAAACCGGTAATATGATACTTACCTAAATACCAATCAACAACACTATTTGTGAATGCACTATTTAGTGTTTGTACATTTGACTTGTTATCCTCGAAATCGACAAATACTTCAAAATCTACACAATTTTTGATGCAACATGTTTCATACCTTTTTGAATTTACCTCATCTTGCGGCTGGTCAAATCTTAGAACTACTTGTTTTCCTCGAAAACTACGGAATTGTTCCTTGGGTACACACCAATCAGAAACCATTTTCTCACCTTTTTTTACTTTGAACATTACATATAAATTTGTTTCGATCATTATATTTGATGTCAATATGTCATTGAACTTGTCATTATTTAATATATTCCTAAAACAAATAGATAAGAAAATGCTAAGATATTAAAAGCAAGGTTGTAGCCAGAAGTTTTGGATTCAGATTCCCTTGAAATATTTCTTAAAATAGAATTTAGTGATTTTAACTACCTATTAGCAGTGTTGGGGAAATATCTAGATAAAAATATCTTTTATCTTATCTAGATAAATTTCTACTTAATTATCTTTATCTACATCTAGATAAAATTCTAGTTCTCTATAAGTACCTATCTAGATAATCTATTTAAATAGAATAAAAAAAAAAAATTGAAAATTGAAAATATTCTTATATTTTCATGTTTACATTTTTTTTGTACATTTTTTTTACCGTATATTTATTATAAAGAAAACAAACATTTAGTAAAATGTATTATTATACCATGTATTTTAATATTGAATGTTCATTGTAAGTCTGGGGTTTTACATCGTAATACAATGGACAAGACCCAAAAATAAAAAAAAGTAATGGTCATACAGTAAGAACAATGGAAAGAGTAAAAACATTTATCCCTGCTACCCGCCACTGTAAGATGATAGTTTTTATTAGCAAATACCCATTTCACAGAATTGTATAAAAATATGAACAAATAATTATTCTTTTGTATATTATACAACTGCTTCAGAAACAAAAACTTTCAATAATGCAAATTTACAGAGTGTAACTTATTTAAGTTAAAAGAAAAAAAAAATAAATGAGGCGAACTTAAACCAATAAACTATTATTAAAGAAGTATTCCTAAAATTTAATAATACTATTTCATCCTCAGCACCAGTTGAGAGATTGTTTAACCAAGCAATTCAAGTCTTAACACCTAGGCGTAACAGGTTATGTGATAAATTATTTCATATTAATCTAGATAAAAATCAGTATAGTCATCTTTATCTTTGTCTAGATAAATTATTAGTTATCTATTCCCAACACTGCCAATTAGGTATATTTAAAATTTTAAAATTTGCAAGTTGAAAACAAATTTATATTTAAACCTTTCGCTCAAAAGATTTTGCTGATTATAGCTTTGATTGAAGAAAGTATCAATAAGAATATCAAATTCTAAAATACAGATATAATTTTACAAATACAAGTGCTAAAATATAATTGCAAATTTAAAACAAAATAATTAATTGAAAATGTATGAGTTTATTTTACAATGCACAAGTAAACGTAGTATAAGAAAAACAAGATGAATGGTTCAGTTGATTGTTTTTGTATTTTTTAACAGTATTTTGTTTATCTAATTTTATATATTAAAAGATTTGGTGAATCATTCCAATATTGGTAAATGAAAATTATTATAACTCTTTGATTTATAATGGAGTTTTAAAATATTTACAAGCTATCTATATCACAAATATTCTATTAAAATTTAAAATGTTTGCTTACTTAAACACATTATCTATGTGCTGCCTAGATGAATGATGTTTTTCACTATGGGCATAACTTAATTTTGGAACATTTATTTTAAATACAGTCAATGGATTAAGTACATTGGATCCAATTAGTATTACAACAGACTCAATATGGTTTTTCTCGCAATTATGAAATTCATTTTCAATACACTATAACAAAAACCAAAACTGCATAGGTTAATTCAGTTTTACGCTGTTATTGTTACAATTGTTATTGTTCCATAAAATATTTGAAACAAGTAAATAAAATGAATAATTATTACCTGAAAAACAGTTTCAAGGGAATTTATCGCTTCAGACACTTTTTTGAAATACTTATCAGATGCTAGTCGGTACTTAATTTTTTGATCACATTGATTTTTCTGGAATTTAATCAAAAAACAAAAACCTTTTTATCACTGTATTGATTGAGACATAACAATGGGTAGCATTCATCGTGGGAAACAAGTGAAAAAACATCTGATATATTGAACGACTTACCTCTAAGTTTAGCTCATTATATTTCTTCACGTACAGCTTCAAACGGTCGTATGGATATGGGATGAGTTGCTTTTCATATACCAAATACTTTATGAGCGTTGTGACTAGGCTGGAAAACGACTGCGGCGTCATGATGTCGGATAAGTGAACGCACACGTCGCAGACGGCCATAACTGTGCGGTGATGATAGATCGCTTCGTCGAGTACAGTTGTGTTCTCGTGTACCAAGTTTCGTCACTGTATTGACGACGGCAAAAACGACACGAAACGATAGGGACGAGTAGATTGCCGACAGTGCTAATAGTTAACGACGCCTTCAGATATGACAATCCGGAGGGAAACGCGTCACTTGTCGGAAAATGGAGTACCGGTCGAACGTTTGGATGAAAAATATGCTTCAAGGTAATGAACAACGGATAAAAGACACTTTTTCACGTTTGCCGATTTTTGAATTTATCAACTTTTAACGTGCGTCGTGTCAGCCGAATATTTTATTGCTCCAACCAAAGATAACGCAGGAATCACGTTATCAACACGGAGAACGGCTAAGCGATCATATTCCTCTTCCATGACGCGTTCGTAACGTTTTGATTTGATTATCGAGATAATGAGTATACTTGATAAAAGCACAGAAATGATAAAAGTATAATATTGTAGTTATTGTTGATGAACACCGACCATACCAAGTGGACATAGATGTTTATTTGGCACAGGTCCAATGTGCGACCTACAACTGATAATTGACCTATTCTTATCTTTGCCGGGCTAATGTGCGACCTACGACCAATGTGTGTATTTTTCTGCATGCCATGGAGAAATATATTTATTTTTGTGTAGAGAATATAGATACAAACGTGATAATTGTAAACCGTGTCGAATTACGTTATACGGCGTTATTGTGATTTTAGTAAATTTGTGGTTTTTATTATGAGTGTCACATTAGGATACCTATATCTACATATTATATACGATGAAAAAATGTGTGTACAATTCTTGCAAGACGGAGAATTATTACCAACACTAAATGAAAATAATAATCGTTGTACCTAAGTGAGAAACAACGAAGAGTGTGATGGACTATTAAAGGAATGTGAGAGAACGAGTAAAAAACGAAACTCAGGATAATTAATTTATTATAAATGAATTAATAACTATAATAACTAAAAAAATTTGCAGTATAGGACATAGGTCAATACTTATAATGTAAGTCGCACACTGGACCGAAAATGTATGTGTAGGTCGCACATTGGACTGGTGCCGTTTATTTTATTAATATTATAATTTTAAATAATCTATACAATTTATACATCGTGGTGTATCTTGTCTATAACGAGTTTCGCTTGTTGTTCAGGAAGTCGCACTTAACCAATACTTGCATTAACTCTTGTGCTGCATTTCTGAATTATTCATATGATTTTGGACCGATTACTATTATTTTTCGCGATGTCTTGACGATTGCTTGTCATTGTATTACAACCTGGTAGCTGTATACGATCCCTTAAACTGTAGATTTCTGAGCACCTACTGCACTTACATTGAGTATTACACTATAAAGTATGTCTTCGAATTCCTTAGACCTATAAGAAAATTAACCAGTTTTCTAATGTTCATCGAAGATGGTGATTAACCATAATAAACCATATTTTTGATTGATGATAGCTTTTAAAAAAACTTTTTTTAGTTCTTAATACATTCATATACATACATAATTAATGTTAAGTTTGAGGTACAAAGAATATCATGTGTATTATAATTACAACATGCTCGAATAAAATTTTAGCTAACAATAAAAACACCAATATGAGAAATAGGTAAGTATTAATAATTCAGTGTTTATTGTAATAAAATAATTATAAATGAAATGATTCTTATCATTATTAGAAAAAAAATTTAATCATCATTCACAAAATAAAATATACACGATTTTATAATAGTAAAAATGTTTTTAGGAGTATAAGTTTTAATATCATAAGTGCTTAATGATTAAAATTGGTTGTTAAAAATTCAAAAATTATAATTAAAAATAAAAAAAAATTCCATAAAATGTATAGCTAATTTTTAAAAGGAATGGATCTTGTATACAATTTTTAATTGGAAGAGTAATCAAGTTTAAAGTCTTCAATTTCCATGAGTCTATAGTTACTTAGACACTGAAACATCCATTCCATGTAGAGAGTTACAGCTTGATAATTAACTAACCATTCTACAATCGAAAAAAATACAATTTATTAATAATTACATACTCAGCTTTACACAAATACAATTATTATGTAAACAATAATTAAAGTAAATAAAAAAAAAATAAAAATTAGTATATGGTTAATACTTGAAAATTAATATATAAATAAATAGCTTATAAAGGGTAGGGCTCCAAAACATCCAATTTTAAAATAAATTTTCTTAGTAGTAATTAAGATGAGAATTCTCACTAAATATTATTAGTTAAAAAAAAACATGCCATTCAGTAAACGTGAAACAGTAGAGCGGTGAATAATGTGCTTATGCAATAAAATTGTCTTACCAAAACAATGATAGTTACTCAGCCGCATACTGTTCATGTCATCTTCATTCTAACCTTAACACCATGATTTGCAACCATCAGTTAAGGCTATTAATATTTTAAATAATTAACTTTGAAAAAACGGGTTCTGCGTTAAAAATGAAGTTTTTACAAAAAAAAATTAATATTTTTTTTTTAATTTATCAATGAAAATCCGTCTTTATAGTGCTCCACCCAGTGTGTATATATATAAAAATAAATAAATAAATGCCTATTCTGGAGTATTATATTTGCAATGTAAGACCAGTTTCAAATTAAAAATTGATCATCAGGTATGTACCAAGTAAATTAAAAGGTGATTCAAAAAAATGTTTTCTCTTACCTATTATAATTTGTTTAGAAGGTATTTGTGTATTTCTATAATTATTTTCACTGGTATCTACTAGTATAATTCTATAAAAAAATTCATAATTTATAAAATCAGCAATATTATTAACAATTTTGCATCCTAATCTGTCCATCCATTCCTGGAATAAATTGATTATATTTCAATAAATAACAAAAGGTAAATATAATTTAATTCTATAAAACTCATAACTCACAAGAAGCTTATAAGAACGTCTTTCGTTACTAATTGTGCCCAACACATAAACAACACAACCCTTCATCCATTCCATTGGAGATTTAATTAAACCTATTTTAACCTGCAAGGACGTTAAGAAAGTCGATTCATTTTCATAATCAGGTGGCAAATAAAAATTCTAAAACAAATTTAAAAGAAATTAATAAATACATCAGTGAAATTATTAAAGCTTTATTACAGGGATGGCAATTAGGATTTTTTTCAATGTGCCAATTTATGACATAATTAAAAAAAAAAAAATTAGCTGTACCAAAATTATTTTTACTAACACAGAAAAATACAAATAAAAAAAATAATGATTATAATATAGAAAGTTATGTTAAAATAGAAATAATGTAAAAAAAATATTAAATTATTATTGTTGTTTGTTAGAATACAACTTCTAATTGAAGTGAACACACACTTCTAGTAATCTAGTGTCCCACTATATTACAACTTATGAATTATTTTTTTTTTAATAATAAATATATGATTACAATATGTGGTTGTGAGATATATATTATTAATATGTGCAATTGATAATTAATTTTATTGTATGTTACTTAAAAATCTATAAATATATATGGACAAATAAATGTTATTCAAGTGCCATCGAAAATCTCATGCATCCACTTATTTGCCACCCCTGTCTTATTAATTACCTCTTTTATTAAAACGCCACTCTCCAAACAATCATGAATCCACTTCATAGTGACGATAAAGCAATTTAATAAAACTCCATTAAATATCTGTACTGTGCTTTTAAATTCTCTTGTTACCTCTGAGGTAACAACTATATGTGTAATTCTATCAGACCATGTTAGTTCTATGGGTATATCAAAATGATTAGAAAAACTAGTTAGCATCTTCATATCCTCATGGTTTGGAACATTAGTAAAAGTTATAGCAACATTATTTAACCCATTTGCATGATATGAAGAATAATGAAATGGAACGCTGTAACATTTATAAATATATATGTATACGCAAACACAAAAACATATATATACTATTAAATAAATAACATAAAATAAAGTATTTACAGTTTTCTCCAATGATATTCCGAATCAGCTTTTTGGTTCTCTGATAAATCATTTTTCTTCTGAAGTACTTCACCTTCATCTTCATCTTCATCTTCATCTTCATCTTCAGAACTACTAATTACCACAATTTCAGGTTCAGTATTATTGGAATAGTCAACATCATGATTATTAGCTTTAGAATAATGAGCTTCATTTGAATATTCTTGTATAATATCTTTATTCTCTTTCTGTTGTGGACTATCATTACTACAAAACATTGAGTGGACGGCATCTAAAGTACCTGCTATAGTATATACTCTAGATTGTGTAGTTGTAATATCTTCCTGTGAAATAGTATAATTTATATTGACCATTAACACATTGACAGACAGTACTGTTAATAACTAAATACTGCTACAGCAGTAATATGAAATTGCTATATAGGATGGCGTTACTCAAATGGTAGTAATATAGATTATTGTATATTATGGTATCACAGCTATAGCAGTTATATTTTTAATGGTATCTAATGATAGAGGATATTTAACTGTTTCGTTGCATTACTTTAGATATTGGGGCACTGACATATTTAACCATTAAAAACATTAAAAATAGATGGCATTGTTTTAAGTTGAATAGAAAATTATCTCAATAAAAGTCATTCGTTATATATGTGTAGTTACTGTAATAGTTTGACCCTTAATAATATTTTACTCAAATATAAGACTCACGCAACTGAAATACTGAGGAAGAATCGTAAAGAAAATCTAAAATATATAAATGACAAAAATCTTAAAAAGGTATATGGAGACATAAAAATTGTGTATATGTAAGCAAATAGAACGATAAGCGAGATGTGTTATGTATCACAAAAAAAGTACAACCCAAATTAGTTCAATTAGAAAATTGGTTTGACCATCAAAAAACAAACCTGCGGATATTGTTGAATATAATAATTATATGAGTGGTATTTACCAATCAGATCAAATGTGTTTTAAATAAGAAACCGTCAATACCTCCAGCAACTAATCATTACCAAGAAAAAATTACATTATCAGAACATTATAAAAAAATAAATTATTTCAAAAACTGCATCCAGTGTTACAGATTAAAGAAAACCAGAAGGCAAACATCTTTCAACTCAAGCAGTGTGTTAAACCACTTTGTGCAGAGTATTGTTTTGAAGTTTTCCACAAACAAATCATACGAATGAAGATTTTGTATAATAATGTTTGTATAGTATGTTTGTATGTAGTAGATTTTGTAGTAAAGTTTGACATTCTTATGTTTTTTATAAAATTATTTATTCATAAATATTAAAAAATGGTATGATTATTTAATATATAATAAAAAATTGTAATATTTAATCAATTTAATTATTTAGTATTAAAAAAATATAGAAAAAAAAAAATATATATATATATACAGCAGTCATGTCAACTTATATACCTTTTTTGATGTACATAATGCACTACTGCTATAACAGTATCAATTTCATGACTGCCATAGCAGTAATAAAAGAGTGCATTATAAGTAGTTTTGAAAATTTAAAAAAAATGGTAAGTGTCCATGAATGTATTAAGTACAAATTTTTTTTACTCATCAATTCATAAATTAGAAACCTTTTAAACAATAGTATTGTATAAATACTAACATAATTTAGTTAAAACAATATATTTTATCAAATTTTAATTTTAGGTATAGTTAAAAAAATTAATTAAATAAAATTGTCAAATATATAATAATTAGTAAACATAAGTAGATAATTGAAATCCAATTAATAGTTATAGTTATAAAAGTATTTATATGTTCATGTAAAGGCGTTTTTGATATGTTTATAACGATTAATATATTTGGATTAATGTAATTATTTGTGCAAAAAACTGTAATTATTTGTGCAAATTAAACATGATTCATTTCGGAAAAGTAACCGTATTTTACTTTTGTTTCGCTTATGATTTATAGAACAGATAATCTCACCTGTGTTTCAGAATTTGAAGTTGCCATTTTTGTAAATCTTTTCAGATGATGTATCAGTTGATGACGAGTGAGATTATTTGATTGACCAATCGCAAGGTTCAAACAATTTGCTCCTTGAGAACTATTTAATATAAACTCCGACAAGGAATATTATACACACACGATCGGCAACAGAAATTACTCAACAGTACTACTAGCCAAGAGTGCAGTGACAATACTGAATGACGCGAGTGTTATTGGCGCCCGGTAAGTGGCAACCGAACCACGTAAAATGAGTGTTTAAAATGTTGGTCACACTACGTAAACTAGCGCTGCCGGCAACAGATGAGTGTACTCGCCGTTGACCTTCAGAATACTAACCTGCCCTCATCGACAGCACCGTGCGCACCATCGGAATGTCTCCGCTTAGCCCTGCTACAATACAATGCTACGTGTACCAATACTGCAAAACGAATACTGTATTGAGCCGATGACGCTGCTGCGTATTCATTTCATAAGAAATAACATTCGAACTGGTGCGTTCGTCGCAGAGTTGAGGGATGCGAGGGTTGCCAAAGTTATTTTTTTTTCCTTTTCTCTCCTCAAAACAGTACTACGATTTGTTATACGGATTGCACATATATATGGTCGTAACTAGGCCTTTAAGTCGAGGGGGCTTCGCTTCAGTTCTAGCTTTTATTTATTTTTTTTTTTTTTCTGACCAAAAGTGAATATTTTGGGAAACTACGCATGTGCTCCTCCGTATAATATTAATTTGAACACGATATAACACGATTGATATTATTCATAACATATTGTGTATGGATCTGAGATGCAAAAAGTGGAATACATTACTTAAAAATTAAATTAAATAATTTCAGTTACAAATTTTAGTGTATATCGGTTGTTGTCGATAAGCAACACTATGTATTGTAGGGTTAACTTAAAAATGTAAGTTGTGTTGGATGGTCTATAAGCTGTGACAGGAGGTGGTAAAATCATAGTTGAGGATAGGCCCTTTTTTGTTTCATTTATAATCATGAACCCTTTTATCTACACTCTTTATATAATGACAGTACATTATCATGATAAAATTATGACGTAGTAATGTAATACTAATCTTTCAAGGTCGAGTGGTCGTCGGCCACATTATATTCGTGCCTTACACGTGAAATACTGGGTACACTATAGTATTGCGGTATTTTATCATTCAAGTCACCGGGGTTCAATTTCTCGTCGAATAGCCAATTTGTTGCGGTACGGATCCAGTGGACATACAAATAATATACACAATTATTATTGTTGGAAGACAGTTGGTTTCTTTTATAATTCTTAGTAAATCATACCGGACGTATACTTATATTTTAAGTTTAAATGAAAAAATAATTAACAGTCAAATTAATATAATAATAAAATACAATTATAGAGGGTGTAGCAAAAAAAAAAAAAAAAAAGGAATACGCATGTTTTCTTTTAGTGAGTTGTCAGAAGACATATAGGTTTGGAAGTTTTGTCCGGCGGACGTCACCGCGATAATCCCGCGTGTCCCTTTTGTGATGGATATGTGAGCGGGGTATTAAAGATCTGTCAAAGAAATGATACAATGTAACAAGTATTTCAAATGATTTGTAAAATAGTGTGTCTTAATAACACTGACGCCAGATAAAAACGTGTGTCGATGACAATAATAATGATATATGCAGCAGTAGTGGCGAATAACCTAACCGACTACGAGGGGGTCTACTCTCCGATATTCACATAAGATTAGTTTTCGAGGACACTAATATAACGTCGGCCAATACAAAAAAAATAAGATAAAATACTAAGAAATTATTTACTGGTCACGCCGTCATGTTGTACATATTTTATTCTTTCTGTCTTCATGAGTAGAAGACAAGATTTATAGTGTTTCGCCGTTAATCCGAACAAAAAAAACATCGACATTTGACGAGGGTCGAACGTTTATTATTCTAGTGACCAGTTTTTTTTAATAAATATTCCGTCCGATAAAATGAGGACTGCGTGGCTAGATCCTAAATGTAAATAGCACAATATGTTATTTATGTGTTAGACCCCGGTATAAGAAGAAGAAAAAGGGACGGTCGATACATTGCTTTCAAACAATGTATATACCCTCATCGACCCAACGTGAGTTTATAAACACAGTGGGATGTCAATACGTATTTATCGAAGGTTGTTACAAACGAACGCTTGGGTTATATCGTATATGTATAAATATATACAGATATACTTATACATATATACGTATACATACATATATATATATATTTGTGTGTGTGTGTGTGTGTAACAAGTTGACTGCCATGAATACCATGTATGGTATTCACTCTAAATCGGTTTTTTTTCTTTTAAATATTATTATCGAGAAAATTGTAAAGCCGCGCGTCCTGACCAGACAACCAAAGGTACCGAAGGTACATGTGACGGCCACATACGGTGATGTTGGTCTAGGTGTAGGCAGCGCGATCGGACGAACACCAACGACGAATGTGCCTTCGGTCAGGAAGCGGTACATCAAAAGGAATTAGTTATCGGTTCGGACACGATTCGTAGATATTTTAATCTTCGAAAAAATTTGGTCCCAACGGATGTATAAAAAAAATCGTGTGCGTTCGCAGTTTTAACCAGCGGACTAACGACGAATTCGGAATTGAGTTCAAACGGTATGCAAACGGTTTCCCGCATCTAAACACAGCCAACGCCGAATGTGGAGACGATGGCGTTCGGGGTTGCCTTGATCGTGCACTCTGGACGCGGATTATGAAAAATGACGGAAAACCTCATGTCCCGTGTCGTAACGAGTCCAAAAATACAACGGCGTATGTGACGAACAATGCGAGTACCTACCTATTCTGGTACTCGTAGCGTACGAGGACGGCTCTATAAAAATACCATGGGCAGTCAACTCGTTACCATAATATCTATACTACCTACTTATTGTTAAGCTAAGGGACTTTTAGCATTTGAGTACTTTTTTAATTATTGTTAAATATAACAGAGTGCGAAATAAATCCGTTTCTCAGTTCCATGATATCAGATCTAACATTTGAATGCGCATATTTTTGCACATTTGATAGATTTTGCAGTAGAGTGCATATTTTAAAATGTTTATGCTTTTTTTACATATTTTGACAATTTTTTTAAATTTTATTATTATTATTATTAAAAGGAAAAACTATAGATACATATTACTAGAGTTCGGGACTTCTTGCATTTGCATGTTTTTTTGTAGTGGTCGTAGTCTATTCTAAGTGAGCTATAAATTTGTTTTATGAAAAAACAAAATTATATACTAAGTTTGAATTTGCATACTTTTGCATATTTCGTCATATTTTAAGAAAAGCACATATTTGAGCAATTTTTAGTATTTTGAGAATATTTCACATTTTTTTATTTGTATAAACGTAAGATTGTCGGGAAAAATCATAATTGGATGGTCGTAGTCTGTCATATCTAACACGAACGTCTGTTTGCGATGATAGTCACTTTATCGCTTAATAATCAACCTTATTATCGACAATATCGACAATTGTATAGTTGTGGTAAAACCTAATGAATCTTAAGGTGCGTTTAGACGGCGCGAGTTTGACTTGCGAGTCAGACTCGTGCATCAATCCTCGTAACGTAGACAGCTGTAGAACGCGAATCACGACTCGCGAGGCGAATGCGCGGCGAGCCGTCGGTCTCGAGGTGCGCGTCAAAGGCGATTCGCACTTTTGTTTCGCGCCGTGTAAACGTTTTAATTATTTGTCTGTGCGCATCATCAAAATGGATCAAATTAAATGTATTCGATTAATATAAAAAATATCCTATTTTGTGGAATTCGCGAGAAAAGGCGTATCACAATAAAAACAAGCGAGAGGATGCCTAGCGATTGTCATGCGCATGAAATTCATGATGAGGTCATCAACTAATTCGACTTACATATCCCTCATTAGCCTGTTTCCGTATTGAAATCGCTGGCGAAATATTTTTTTCATCCACCAACGGCGTTGACGTTTTTGCCGACTAGCAATTCTTTTTTTTAAAATATGGGCTGCAATAAAGGCAAATACTGCAGCCGCACGAGGTGGTACCATAGGACTCACAGTAGGAACATTTGCCATGGCTGCCTCGCGGATACTGACGGCTCACCCTTTATCTAGGTGAGTCACGACTCACCATGAATCAGATTCGCGGGACTCACTCACGATAGTGATGCGCGAGTATGACTCACGAGTCATACTCGCGAGTCAAACTCGCGCCGTCTAAACGCACCTTAATACTCCTACAGGCTTATCTTCATATTATCATGAAACAAATATAAATTCAAACTCTCCAAATTAATCAGTTATTAGCCGGGTATGAATTTTACAATGAAATGAAATCAGTACGTGTTCGTTCGTTAATCATATCATCACGCTTACATTATTTCTTATTAACTGTGCCATTTTTTTTTTTTTTTTTACAATCATTATTTTTACAATAATTATTTTTTTTATATTAAGTACCTACCTAATTTTTTGATTTTTATTTTTATAATAATAATTTATAATATACCTTATGCGTTTTTTAAAAATAAAATAAAAAATTAGATGCATGTTTTAAAGCATATTTTGACTGCATATTTCGATAATTTTTAGTGCAAGAAGTCTCGAACCCTACATATTACATATATACATATTTCAACCGAACGAAAAAAAATTGTACTGAGAGGACTTAATACTTCCAGTAATATGCTATCTGCAAACTGCCTCTCATATTTCGTTATAATTTTTGTGCAAGTATGAATAATACTATGAACCCGTATCGACCGGATGTCGATATAGAATAATAGATTATTTGTTTAGTGTTCAGTTCAGTCGATTATTATCCGTCGTTGTTTTTGCGTCTCGCAGCCACACAACGTCGAATCATACGTAAAACGTTGTACGCGTATATTTCGTAACACTGTGTAATGCCGGAAATACAACAGTCTACGAGTAGCCGAGTACAAAGTTTTGTTTCGGAGTTTAAAGATACATTTACATCCGATGGACACGTTTTATTTTATGTACTATGTGGTCATTTTTTTTTTTTTTTTTAATGCACATAAATGCATATTATAATGTATAACACGGCGACGCGGCTTCACTGTCCTACGTGCACGCGATTTGATAACGAGATGGTCGGATACAGAAATCAAGTCGCGTTCAGATCAATCGTAAGAATATCAAACCGTTCG